GACTCCCCTTTCTCTGACTATATCACTCCCAAATTCTCGAAGATTAAGAAGGGATCAAGGCTCTTCGGCGAGAGATTGGACGCTCTGATGGGGCAGACCAAGGATACCCTTAATGATGCTGAGAGGGAAATCTTCCGTCAAATCATCTTCAATCGGGAAGAAGCCCTAGCTTGGACCTTCGAGGAAAAGGGGGAACTTGACCCTAGAATTGCTCCCCCACAGGTCATCAAAATCACACCCCATACAGCCTGGCAGTGTGGCAATGTATTATCCCTCATGGAACCAAAGCCAAGGTCATCAAGCTGCTAAAGGAAAGACTGAAGAACAAGATTATTAAAGAAAGTCATGCTTCTATAGGAACTGGTGGATGCTTGTGGCTAAGAAAGATGGGGGTTTGCGTCTTATCAACTCAGCCAAGAGGTACAATGCCTATACTATCAGGGATGGAATGATTCCTCCTGGGACCGAAGACTTCTCTGCTGAATTTGGGATGTGTCAGATCCTTTCAGTCCTTGACTTCTTTTCTGGATACGATCAGATCGCCCTGGACGTGAAAAGCAGGGACTTGACGACCTTCCAAACGCCAATTGGTCTATTCAGGCTGTGCACCCTCCCTCAGGGAGCCACGAACTCAGTGGCCCAATTTACTAGGATCATGACGAGGATCCTTTTCGATCTGATGCCTGATATAGCTAGAGCTTTTCTAGACGATATTGGTGTCAAGGGCCCTGTTGAGGACTACGAAGGGGAGGAGTCCCTTCCTGGTGTCAGACGGTATGTCCTGGAGCACCTGATAAACCTCGATGCTGTTCTGGTCAATGTGGAGCTTTCAGGCTGTTCAATTGCCGCAAAGAAGTCATTCTTCTGCCAAAAGGCCGCTCCTTTGGTGGGATATCTTTGTGGGACTCATGGTCGCAAGCCCATGGAGGACAAGGTCCTGAAGATCGTTGAATGGGAAGATTGCTTTAACCAGACTGGAGTCAGGGCCTTCCTAGGCATCTCAGGATACTACAGAATCTGGATCGAAAAGTATGCTTGGATTGCTAAGCCCCTTACCGAGCTACTGAAGAAGGATGTCCCCTGGAAGTGGGAAGATGACGAGAAGGAAGCGATGAGGGTATTGAAGGAGAGGATTGTTACGGCTCCTATCCTTGTCTCTCTCGACCTATCTGAAGGAGCTGGAGAGGTTATTCTGATGATTGATGCCAGCATCCTAGGCTGGGGAGCTGTCCTGATGCAGATAATAGATGGAAAACGTCACCCTGTGAGGTTTGAATCTGGTACCTGGTCAGATGCTGAGAAGAGGTATGATGCGACAAAGCTGGAGTGCAAGGGAGCTCTTCATGCTGTCAGACGCATGAGGATGCAGATCTATGGATATCCCTTTACTTTGGAGACCGACTCAAGGGTCCTTGTCGATCAGATCAACAATAGGGCCGACGATATACCAGGATCGATGGTCGTCCGCTGGATCAGCTACCTCTTGCTCTTTGACTTCACTGTCAGACACGTTCCAGGAAAGAAGAACGCGGTAGCCGACGGTCTTTCGAGGAAAGGGGAGGGACCTTCTGACCTTCTAGACCGAGAAGCTGAAGGCGACATTGAGGATGAGATCGACGCCCGCCTCAACCTTGTTCTTTTTGGCCCTGAAGATAAGAAACTGGAAGACAGCTACACAGGTGAATGGCTAGTCCTAGGGAACTATTTGACTTCCCTAAAGCGGCCGGAGGGACTCTCAGCAAGAGACTTCTCGCGACTAAGGAAAAAGGCAACACAATTCTATGTCCACGGAGGTCACATCTGGAGACGAGCACTGAGCCTAGGAGACGACCCTACGCTTGTTGTTGATGATGAGGAGCTTCAGAAGCATCTCATTATAACCTCCCACCATCATGGGGTCATAAAGGCAGAGAGGCGACCGTCTATATCGTTTCCCGCCGCTATTTCTGGCGAGGCATTAGACGCAAGGTGGAGTCAATTATCAAGACTTGTCCAATTTGTCAGGTTCACGCTGCCCAGAGACCGGCAGAAATCGCTAAGCCTACTACTCCTTGGTATCCTATGATGAAGATCTATATCGACGGACAATACCTTCCTGATGACGACGGGATGAAGTTCCTGTTGGAAGCTAGATGCGATCTGACGGGATGGGTTGAAGCTATGCCTTGCAAGGCCCTAAATGCAGCAAATGTCCGGAAGTTTATCAGAAGGATCCTCTATCGCTATGGCATGCCTGTGAAGATTGTCACTGATAATGGAAGCGAGCTGGCGAAAGGAATCCCTGACGAGCTAGACGACCTGGGCATCACGATGGCTAAGATCTCCTTTTACAATTCCAAGTCAAATGGGCTGATTGAAGTCGGTCATATATCCTTGGTCAACTATTTCAAGAAGCTCGGCGGCTAGGGAAGTGGGTTGGGTTGGTAGACCAGGCTCTGTTTGCAGACAGGTCTACGATCCGTGGGTCCCATGGATGCTCACCCTTTTGGCTCCTTTATAGATGGGAACCTATCCTCCCTATGGAAGTCAAAGTCCCAACCTGGAGACTTATTGATTGGGATGAGGTCCATACCAGGGAAGACATTGTCTTGGCTCGAATCCGGATCCTAGAAAGACAACAAGAAGATCGGGAAGCTGCCAGATAGAAGGTCAAGGAATATCGGGAGAACCTGGCGAGAAAAACAACTGCTTCCAATGCCTTCAAGCTGAGGAAAAAGCCACTATCGCTAGGGGACCTTGTCCTTCTCTACGATGTCAAAAACTACCACGACCTTTCCACTGCGGCCAAGCTCAAGCCAAAATGGCGAGGACCCTACAGGATCCGAGAGGCTCTAGCGGAGACCAGAACCTACATTCTTAAGACCCTAGATGGTGTAAAGATGGCTGGAACCTGCCATGGGGACCGGATCAAGGCCTTTGTGAAGGATGATCAAGGGTGGTGGGCCAGCCCTGATGATGCAGAGGTTTGGGGACCTCCTACTGAAGATGAGGACGAAGAATCTGAGGAAGAACCATCTCATGATAAGACATATCAACCCAGTGAGACAGAGGATTCATTAGATGAGGCCTATTCTGCGCCTGTCCTTCGTCCACGGAGGGGACCAGGGGGGACTTCCAGGTTCGCATCCCAGAGATGAGTAAGGAGGCCAGAAACCAGTATAAAGCAGTCTAGAATATCTCATTAGATGTTTGGGGACACAGCTTCGGCTGGGGACAGCGGTGTTGCTGTGTGGGGAGGCGGACAGGGGAGGCAAGACACAGGGTCACTGGAGAGACTTGGACGCGAAGAGTCTAGACAGCCAAGACCCAACAAAATGACTACCCAGAAGGAGTCTGCTGCTGTGAACAACACCTTACGACAAAGAGGAATAGTAAGAGGAAATCTATCTGGAAGAGATGAGGGTGGTGCCAACCAAGTGGTAATGTCATTCCCTAGGCATTTGCTATCGACCACCTATTCTACAAGAACGGAAAAAAGGACTGTTTTTTTTTTTTCCCTTTAACAGGGAAAGAAACCCATTAAGACCACCTAAAGAGCCCGGTACCCATTGCGAAGAGCCTGAGCAGAGACCTGGGAAGCCCGACGACAAATCTCAAGGTCAGACGCACCGCCAGCCTCAGAGGGATATTCGCCAATAATCCGAGGGCAAGAACGAGGGTTGAAGACGTCAGAAGCGTAAGAGGTCGACATATTCGGGTTTGTGGCTCGACCACCAAGAGGAAATTTCCAAGGACCTTCCTGACGACCTGAAGCCATGTACCCATGGAGGCATTTCCAGTCGCAATCGGTCCGGTTATGCCAAAGGCAATTAGTACACACCCATTCATATATCCCGGGGCCGAAATGCAGGCATGGAAAGGGGTCAGAATGTGTTCGTTGAAGCGGGTGGTTGTGAGAGATAGCTGCGGATACAACAGCGACACATGACCGGATTGATGACCCCGACAAAGGCGACAATGAGGGCCTTGACAAGATATGGGTAGGAAGGAAGGTTCATGAAGAAGTACCCTCCAGGATGAGCCCAGTCTGCCGGGATAAAGACCTGCTGGAGAGTGCGGGTGGCTAAAAGTCCTATCCCTGCTGTAATGGACGAGTCTCGAAAAGGAAGCTGCTTGAGGAACTAGACGAGGAAGGCCTCTCTGGAGCCGGTGGCAGGAAATTGGACATCCAACTCGACGTATAGAGGGCGGCCCAGTTGGTTGAGGGCCCGGAAACTACAAATCCAAACCCGGAATGACTTTAGGACCTGGAAAAGCATCTCATTAGATGACCTGAACTGACAGAAGGGAGATAAGGGACCTTATTAAGGCTGGAGTCAAATCAAGCTTCGACAAAGGAAAGGGGCGAAGGAGAACGGCGTCTCGACCCTTCTAAAAGGTACCAGACCGTCGCGAGAACTCATCGGCCTTGACTCCACACTCAGCCAGATGACGAATGTCAGGAAGCTTCTCTTGAGGGAGGCCGGAAAGAATGATCAGCTTGTCTTGAAGAGATGCCATTGCAGAGGCTATCCCGATGTTGCGATGACAGAAAAAGAAGGGAAGTCTGCGGCAGGATGAGGCTGAAACCCTGATGTTGGTGATGTGGAAGAGAAAGAGGCTTCAAGCTTAAAGAACCCTACCTTAGGCTAATCCGGCAGGGCTTTATTGCAAAGTGCAAGAATTGCAAGAAGTGGGTGTCCTTGTTTGCCATGACTTACAAAGGAAAATCAGTGAGAAGGTCTGGAAAATAACGACTGCTGTCTTTGTGATTTACCGTCACAAAGAGAACCAAGCCCCACAGCACAAAAGACCCTCGAATATTCAGTCTCTCGAAAATACCAATACCCATATACTCTTCTTGCACTCTAGCTGCTATAGAAATCAAGCCTGTAACTTGCGCCTCCAAGCTGCAATTCTTTTCCTATTAAGCCCAAACCTCGACTACTATCTTATTAGTTGCTTTTCTTCCTACCAACTGACTTTCGAATCCATTGCTACACCACGGAACTCAATACGCAATGGCCACCTCCGACGAGGCTGTGAAGGAGAAGGTGCAATTCTACTGCAATATGAAATTGCTAACTCTCTACGAAGGAACTGTTCGAGGGGAAGGTGGAAAAGGGAGCTTCCTCTACTATAAAGAGAACCTTGTGAAGATATTGCTAACCGAAAAAGTCGGCTAACAACCGACCCTCTATCCTTCCTGCCTAGATTGGTCCCATTGGGACGAGGAAAAAACTGAATGCCTTTTCTAGGAGATGAGGAATTGATTAAAGCTTGGGCTAAGACTGTTAGATTGCACCCCGACTTTAGCGAGACTGACTTTAGGACTTGGGAAGGTTACTGTAGCGATCTCTGGGGCCTCTAGTATAAGCTTTAGTATAAGGATCTCTCTGCTAACTTTAGTCTTATGCTTTCCTATAAACTATAACTTATGGAATAAGGGATGTTATAGCTGTTATACCTTTTAGCCTTGACCTTGAAACCTATATCCTCCAAGCTAACGAATGGGGGAAAGAGACCTTCTTGACTAAGCTCCTAAAAGAAGGCATTCTAGTTACAAAGAACCGTCTTACAGTAAGCTTCCGACTAATTCGAGAGACCATATTTAACTGCGGCTACCTTGTTGGCATTATTAACTTTGCCAATAAATGTTATTGGATTGGCTACATCTGGGATGCTAGGGCAAAGTAACTCTCCCTCTTTGATATAATGGACCTTCAAAGGAAGGAACGATTTAGGGCTGCTGGGGTTGCCTGGAGGGAGATTATGACTGTTAATGGTGCCCCATTCGACTTCTCTGTCTACGGTATGCCAGCCTCTACCCAGTCCTACGGTTGGGAGTGTGGCTTTCTTGCAGTCTTTCTTATAACTTTAACTATTTGCAGTATGGTTGGCCTGGACAAGCAGTAGATGCAGGGAGGGATCCCAATGGAGAGACTAGTTTTGACGACCTGAACGACAAGCCGGCAAGTGTCCCTTTTGAGCTACGATTTCGCGACTGGAAGCTTGGCGCCGTTAAGCTAAAGCTCCCGCCCCAGCTAAAGAAGAAGGGGAAAGCCGCTAAGAAGAAGGAGACTGTAGACCAGGACTTGGATCTGGAGCGCATCAGAAGCTTCATTGGGTACGCCATCATGAAGGAGCTTGGGATCCGGGACCTGATGTACAGCGAGGGTACGGACGAGGTTTGCCGAAAAATCGACCTCTCCCACAACTGTGAGTATGGGTTCATAACTACCAACTAGAAACTCAGGATATCAGATCTCTACACCAACCTTGGTGGGTTCTCCCCAGTCAGCTGGAAGAGTCTTAACCTCAAGAAGCTCCCCGATGCCTATCAAATTGTCCCTCATCCTGCTGTCCCTTTTGGTCAGACGTTCCGCTCTACAACGATGTATAGATCAGACTACTGAAAGGTCAACTTTACTATGGCCGACAACCTCGTCAAGATGTTCAAGAAGAGAGGATTTGAGGTTCAGAAGGGGATCCCTAAGCTACCTGGGACTACGGGAGGGAGTGTTATCTCTCTAGGCTCGACTGTCCCAGAGAAATCGCCAACAGCTCCTAAGCCTGCATCTAAGACCGTACCTATAGTACCCTCTGGGGGTATCGAGGAGATGGAAATGATATTCGGTAGAACTTCTTCTTCTTCTAGGCCCTCTGGACGTTCTGAAGGGACAGGGAGAGGAGCGGTATCTTCCCTGATGGAAGGGGTCAGGGATATCAGGGCCTCGCCATCGCCACCTCCAAAGTCGCCGGCAGTATCCCAAATTGAGAGGGATATCCGAAGCCCAAGTCCTTGTTAGCCTGCTGGGTTGGATGTGTTGATGAGAGACGTTCGTGGAATGTCCGCTAGGAGTGACGTCTTAATGAGGGATCTATCGCCCAGCCCACTACGTTGTTAAGCTGCTAAATCCTACAGAACCCCGACTATTTCTGCTGTTCAATTTATTGATGGAGCCGTTCTTTGCTACTTTGACGATGATGCTATTCTTAAAGGACGAAGCGAGTATGACAATGTTTCTATTGGTAAGGGTACGAAGAAGATGACTATTAATACTGACTGAATGAACCTTCCTTGTATTTTCAAACGACCTATGCTGTTCATGCCCAAGTCTGAGTCCTATGCGACTTATATCCCGGAAGGTCTGATTTCTCTTTCCCAGTGGGAGGAGCTGATTGACGCCGCCTATATGGATGTCATCCCTCCTGCTATTGTAAAGATTAGTCGGGAGGAACGTTACTGTTAGCGTGAGGCTTGCAAGTGATGGTTATTTGGTGTGCTGTTCTGCTTTCTCCGGTGGATTGGAATGGTGATGGATAGGGAAGCTTGTGGTGAAGGGAGTTGCCCTTAATGGAGGAAGTTGGTCTTTAGAAGCTTTTAATGAGATGCTTTTCTAATGTTTGCTGTGTTTCTTTGGTCGGAATCTTGAATGGGGAGGCTGTTGTGTTGTGTGCGTTCCTGGCCTGATTGGGGACAATTATTGGATTGCGGGGGAGGGATGTGATAGGCGGTTAGGGACACTTGGGCTAGCTGGTCGCTAGCGGGGATGTCTCTAGGGTGACCCGGATGGGGTTAAAAGGGGAGGTTAGTGCTGTTACTGGGGGAAATTATTGTTTTTCCTTTCATTAGAGATTCTTCCTAGAAGTCAGAGAGGCCGGAAGGGCTCGAGGCTGCTAGGGAGTCTATTAATTGATTGCCTTTATTTTTGAGAGATTTATTTGAGCCTTCTTGTCATTACTATGTTCCCTGTCTAATCTCTGTCTTTAACCTCCCTTAGATATTGGTCTGCTGCAGGCCCTATTGATGCCTTGCCAGCGAACTTTCCTGCGACCGACCCGATATACAATTTTATGAGATGCTTCCCTATTAGGAGATATAAGCCTTAGGTTGATCCGACTTTATATGTGTAATCTGGTGTAGCTTCGGGCTGACTGGCTAAGATGCCTGTGCGACGACTCTCTGTGTATTTCCCCTAGGGAAGGTTAATGAGTTGGGTGTTGTTTTCCGTCCCTTCCTGCTGCTAAATTACTCTTCTAACTAATTAAAATAAATAGCTTTAAAGTTAAAATAAAAAAAAGTAAAAATAAAAAAGACTAAAGTTAAATAAAATTAAAAATATATAACTTTATATAACTTTAAGTAAAGATAATAAGCTAAAATATAAAAGTTAAGTTAAGTTAGAAAATAATATATATATAATAATATTAATAGCAATATAACTAGTAATAGAAGAATTAATTATATATATATAAATAAATAGCTATCTTTTTCTAGTAATACTACTATAAAAAAAGCAGGAAATAAAAAAAGAAAAAGAATAGTAATATTTAGTAATAGATATTTAGCCTCTTTTATTTCAGCTTCTATAAGTTATTATATAAGTAGAATCTACTTACTATCTAATATTTAATATTAAATACTATAAATCTAATTAGTTAGAGTAGCTAAAAAACTTAATAATAGTATTAATATAATACCACTCTAATTATTTATTTATAAATTAGCTAATAGTATTAATTTCAGTTATAATCTATATAATACTTTATATAAATATAATTTATATCTTTTTCTACTATATTATTATATAATATAGTAGCTTTTTATTTATATACTTATATTAGCCTTTTTAGTTATTAGAGTTATTTAAATACTTTATATTATTTATATTATTTAAATCCTTTATATTATCTATATTATCTATATTTATATTCTTTATATTATTTATATCTATATCTTTTAAATTTCTTATTTTATCTTTCTTCTTCTATAACTCTAACTATACCTAAATATATATTATAATTTACTACTATTTCTTATATTATATCTATATATCCAGCTTTATACTTCTTTTAAATAACTTACTAAGAATAATAATTATCTTTTTTTATTTAATCTTAAATAACTTAATAATATCCAGGCTATAATAGCTAGTAGCTATATATATATTATCTAATATATACTTAAAAATCTTCTATATTTTCTATAATATTTATTTATTTACCTTAATTAATTATAATATCTATTCTTATAATTAGATCTTATTAATATAAGCTAAATATACTAGCTATTTAATATACTTTAACTATCTCTTAATTTTCTATTTATTACTAGTATTCTAAATTTAAATATCAGCCTTACTCTTAAATATCTATTAAGCTTATTATTATATAGTTATAATAAACTTAACTTAGTAGCTAGCTTTATTTTTATTAAGCTCTTTATTATTAAATAGAATAATTTATCTAACTTTAAATTAACTACTAGCTATATAATTACAGAAAAAATACTAGTATTAAATACCTATTCTTTATAGTATAGATAATATAGCTACTTTAAATATATTAGTATACTAGCTTTACTTATAGTTATTAATCTAATTATACTTATCTTAATAATATTACTATATCTATTTAATTTATTAGGCTATATATAGATATTAATTATATTCCAATTTATTCTTCTTTAGTAGTAGAATATAGAGGATAAAAGCTATTATTAGAAGTAGAACTAACTAATCTTTTAATTCTTTTTAATTATAAATAATATCTAAAATTACTTTTACTATAGCTTAAATCTTCTTTAACTTAGTACTTATTAGTAATCTAATATATTTTAATATAATATATTAAATTATTTTATTTTTAATATATATTACTCTATATATCTAGTAAATTATAAATAGATATTTAGATAAATAAATAAATAGCTCTATTTTAATAATATTTATATATAATATTTATATTTTACTATATTATCTTAACTATCTTATTTTTTTTTTTTTAGTATTTACTTTTTACTAGTTACTATAATAAGATTAGAACTTTAAATTTAATTCTTATTTTAATTAACTCTTTTACTTAATATTTCTCCTACCTATACTAACTCTTTTATAAGCTTTACTCTTAATATTCTTAACTTAATATATCTATAACTTTAACTATATTATAATATTTTAATTTGGGTTCTTCTAGTTTATATTTTAAAATGGGATATCTTCTAATTAATATCTTTCTATATATATATTTTATTTTTATTTTTACTATTCTAGTTTTAATAGAACTCTTTGTTGATATTTTTAATAGAACTCTACCTTATATTATTAATAGTACAGTTTCTATTTGTATGGGTTTTTAATAGACCTCTTTAAAGAGTTTCTATATAGATTGCGGGTAGGTAAAGTAAAGGCTGAAGGATTTTTAAGCTTTAAAGTGTTAAAGCAGAAGCAAAGTATTAATACTTACTCTGTATATAAGCTGGAAATTAGTTTATAACTACGCATTCCGTTGCGTCGTAGCGTGTTTATGAATAAGCAGGCAAAAGCAATTCAAGGTACAGATTACAGAAGCAAGGGTTGTGAGGAGGCACCGGAAATAGGGCGGGGATAGAGGGTGACAGGGATTTAAGCAGGGGGTTCCGGCAATTAGGGGGAACACGACAATTAGAATAGAAGAGTAGGGGGGGCCGAGATACAGGCCCCCACAAGTAAGTCTCAGTTGAATCTGTCTGTTACCTCATTTTACCCTATCTCACCCTCTCTCCTGCTCACATTCTTAGCTGGCAACTCCGTCAGCTCAATGCTCACCGGCAGCTCAGCCGGGCGATCAAGCGCTTGAAACTCCATGTGCCCACCCTGGGGCTGGTTCTGATCGACCAGCACCCTGGGGCTCTGGTAGTAATTAAGATTATACCCGCCCTGCGCGTCGCCGGCGCCAGCCAGCTCCTGCGGATTCGCCGTCGCCTTCGTGCCCCCATCATATGCGCTTGGCTTTGCAGCGTCAGGCTGCACGCTGGCGTAGCGGCGCTTGCGCCGCCTCCACCAGAATAACAAACCCACCAGCGCCGCGATTGCCACCACCGGAACAACGACCGCCACGGCAATCGTGCCGCCCGTTGAGAGCCCCTTGCTCACCTGTCCGAGATCACTCGCCTGGTACACATACCGAATGCCATACGCATTTACGCCGCCCTCCTCGCCGTAGAGGGTCCAAACTGTCGTCGTCGGAGACGCGCCAGCGGACTCTGACACCGTCACATCCACGACGGTCTTGGGGTGGGTGGAGGTGAGGTCGGCCATCCAGGTGCAGAACTGCAACGCCCATCGATCTTGACGAACGAGCGTGTCCTCGATGCAGGTCAAGGTCATGTCGCCGCGGACGGGGCAGCAGGTCACGGTGGTAATGGCGCGCACGCCGTCGCTGCGGCTGCACTGGGGTTGGGCCGTGTAGTCCGTCGGACAGGCGGTGCCGGGGGAGTAGAAGGCGGTACTGGCAGCATTAAAATTCTTAGGGAGGCATAGTGGGTCGTTGCCAATAGTAAGGATATCGATAGAGCCGTGGCCGCTGGTGTCGAGGTAGATGCCCCTGCAGGAGGAGGGGGGGTTGAAGTCAGAGGTTTGGAGGGGGTTATAGGGGAAGGTGGAAGTTGAGGTCGATGATGTTGGTGCTAACATTTTGATGGTGAGTGACGGGAAGGCCGGGGACCGCTTGGTGGTGACTCTTAAGGTGCAAAGGCGGCCTTGATGATAGCTGGTTCATTAGATGCGTGTAATTGACAATGAGGAACCCTCTCCAAGTGAAGCAATTTGCAGAGATAGAATCACTAGACACATGTCGCAAAACAGGCCAAAAGAGAAGCAGGAGACGGACGAGGAGAAGGGAAGCACCCTCCTCCATTTGACGAATCCTCCTTGGGGCCGATCAACCTAGTCCCATCGCTCAGGTCATACTTCCGAGGCGGCAGCCCAATCTTACCAGGCTAAAGAAACAGACGCCGGCTGTGTGAGAAAGCGAATCTCGAGGCTGCAGACCTGGCTGGAGGCGTTGGGTCTCGCACAGTGTGCACAAAACTGCTTCGGCTGGGCTAGAGTGCATGGATTTGGCATTTGAACCCCGTGAGCCCCAAGCACGAGCCGGGGTGCACGGAACTTTCCATATGCACGATTTGGTCAGCAAGCTGTCACTCATACGGCGTTGCAACGGCACTTCCCGAAGCGAGCGCCTACCACGGAAATTGTCACTTAGCACTAACTGTGGGCTGCCAGCTAGTGGCACCGGAATGGGGTGGAGTTTGCTTCGTTGAGGAATAGAGGTATTGGCTCTCAGCTGATGGTCCTTCTCATCATGCTATGATGATGCTTTGCGCCTGCAGCCGCATCTGAGTCTCGCTTGTAAAAGCCACGCATGTGATATGGGATTCTTCACGTCAGAATGATCTCAATTTCTGCGAGGGTAGCTTGGATTTGCCAGGCACTTCAACAATGCGTCTTCATTCCATCTTTTCCATACTATAGTGCAGCCCTGCTGCTTACCTAGGAGTCAGATGAAAATTGGTCTACTCGACTTATTGTTGGTCGATATGGGGTTGCATTCACGAACTAGCTCGGACAGGGGTCGACGATGCTCAATGATAAGGATATCTCTAGGCCTTGGAATGCAATTCAGCCATTCCTTAGCTCTGAATCTGACTGCAGGTCAGAATACACCAGGGATAACTACTTAAACCTGATGGGTCCTTAGATAATGGAGAGATTTAGCTTGCCGGGCGAGAGCATTGCAAAAATTTGATGCAATCCGGGATAGCTACGTCCTGGGATAGATGAGGTCTGAGGTCCGAGACCTTAACAGTCTACGCTGCAGAGCAGAGCCAGGGTTAAAAGCCACTCCACTCAATCCATATAGTGGATCCACTAGTGGATTCCACTGTCCACTCCACTGGCCACTCCACTGGCAAAATCTCAGTAGATTGGGTGGATAAGAAGTGGGGTAGTTAAGGGTGCCTGATGTGCCTCTAGATTTCTGCAATGTTGCTACCCTATGTCAAAAACACCATGAAGCTTCTGAACAGCGAAATTTCTGAATGCATACAATACAGAAAGTACTATTGGAATGTCCTGGGTTTTCTCATTGGGGTGACATAAGTCTCGATAGGTATGCTTAAGATTTGCTCCGTGAATGTTATAACATCATGAGGACCGTTAATAGTTATATATTTTCCTGTTGTATAACTATATTTCCAGTATATATCAGGTTTGCCTGTTTATATTTTGGATTTATAATACAATACTTATACTATTAAATATCTTCCAGCAAGCTGATTCGAAAAACGCGTCCAGATCCCTTAATATCTCAATACTGTGCAAAAAATTACAAGTGATACTAATTGCGTTAAGCTTGTAATTTGAAGGCTGTTAGGGACTTATCTACTACCCGACTCTAATGACACTCGCTATGTGCTTGCTCATAACAAATTAGCTTGAAAGGAAGTATCTGAAACATCTGTAGGATAAGGGTATATTGTGCTAACTGGCTGCGTTGGATATGTTATTTGTGCTTACCTGACGACCTGTTGTTGACCTATTACTGCATTATATTTTGTGATTTCGACATAATAAAGAGATTATTTTACTATGACCTCGCCTGATTCCTGCTTCGACATTTCCAACAACGGCTTCGGGTCTGCTGCCGAATTAACGCCCTGCCCGACGCCGTATCCTGCTCGTTCAACCTCGACCTCTGTCTCGACTCTGACGACCTCTTCCGCAAGCGATGAATACTATGAATGCACGCTCTAGAGACATTTCCCAGGCTGGGAGTTCTCTGAGCGAGCCAGGGAGACGTGTTGTTGTGCCTGGCAATTTGGATATGACATCCAAAAGGAAGACTGCAGATGGATTTGCCAAGCATGCATTTCCAAGAATACCCCACATCCAGGTCATTTTGAAGCTAATGGCATTTACAATGCATATAATCATCTGTTTAACGACCACGGGATTCGCGCTCCTCCTGGAATGACTAAAGGAACTGCTGAAAAGAAGGCAAATTTGAAGGGCAAAAGGCTTACTGGGCAGCGGACTCTCACGGAATTCTTGAAACTTAATCTACACAACCCTCAAGAACAAGCAATTGCGAACGGCCTTATCAAGCGCTTCGACAAGGAACACTTCTGCAGGCTTCTGATTGACTGGATTGTAGTTAAGAATCACCCCTTTTCTATTGCTGAAGAGATGGAGCTCCAAGCTATCTTTGATTACTTGAATCCGTCAGTTTCGGCTTGTAAAGCTAATTGTTGTGAGGTTAACGATGTGTATTGGGTTGAGTTGACTAAACTAGCTAAGCGAGGCTATTCCGAGCTGTAAGGGCCCTGGCTGTCTGAGGCCATAACTGCTGAGACAGCGGCTGTGAGTACCCTTCAACAATAATAGAAGAGTAGGGGTAGATACAGTAACAGTTCCCCAAGTTAGAGGTAGATTGTAACTAAAGGGGTTTCCAATAAGGTGTCCCCTAGTCTCTTACAAGGATCCTTAAGATGTTACTTCTCTGGATTTATAGTATCCAGAGAATAAGAATAAGAAGGGTAATTGGCATTGCTATAGCCCAGAATATCCAAAACTAACTTGTTATTGCAAGTTTGTTATTATCCAAGATTCTAATGAATAAAGCTATTATAGTCTGGGAAAGAGTTAGTTTAAGGTTCGGGACTCTTTCTTTGGAGTGCGGGTATGGGTCCTACTGCGATTGCGGTAGCTAGCAAAAAGACTATTGTTAGTAGAGCTATACTCTTTATGGCTGACGAGTCCCTCTTGGTCTCACAGGCGATCTCCTGTTGCATTAGATTGTAGAGCTTTTGTACTGTAAGTATGTATTGAAGTGCCAGGCTTTGTTATCTGTTATACTACTTGAAGATAAATATTAATGTGGTTAAGTATTTGCTGTTGGTGTATGACCTTAGCATCTGCTTGAGCTTGCAGGAGCTTAATATACTGTCTGATATGAAAGCTGTCATATGCCATAGTTAACTGTTGTCCTGGCTTGTTTGCGCTCGTGCTTCTATTTATGTGATTCTCAAATTTCGATAGTATAGAGATAAGTGCCGGGCCTAGAACTTTAATAAAGTTTGCACAACTATTGGTCAAGTAAGTATATTGCAGTAAAATCTTTTGATGCGTAGTGTTAAAATTAAGCTGAATATTTTCAATCTCTTTGTGTTAAAGATAGGCGCTCATCAGCCCCGTTTCTCGCTAGACCTCACGCAGTTAAATGCTGATGCTAATATATTTATATTGAAGTAGGTTTATCCAGATGTTAGATAATATTACGAGTAGCAATATTGGCTCTGCGATTAGACTGGTGTTATTCCGGAGCCTCTTGAGTAGTTGGAATCCCGGTGATGGATTTTCTTTTGTTAATTTGAAATAGAGAAATCCTGTTATAGCGCAGTTATTTTGCCTGAAGCCTATGGCCAGTGTTGTAAACGAGCTAACGAGGGCTGGACTTTGAAAAATAAGTTCTGCTATATATTAGTATTTTCTCTTAAAATACACTCAGCTAATTAGCTTACTGATAGGAGAGTATATAGATCTATTAGTGAAAACTAAGCTAGGAGGCATCTGCTTTTGGGTTGCTAGGTGAAGGGAATAGGATTTTGGTAATTGCAGGACTTTAATTATCTATTTCCAGCTATCTTAAGTAAATAGTAGCAGGATTTTCTAAGCTCTGTCTTTAGCTAAAGCTTAGTAGTAGTATAAAAGCCTTATACTGCCTGTTATACTATCTTTTGGAACCTAATTAGGAAATGCAAATTATCCCTTCTGGTATAGCTATTGGTCTAAATTCTTAGAAGTTTTGAGGACCTTGTGACAAATAATTAGTAGGGAAGACTTTTTAATTTTAGTTACGGACTATTCTAGGTCTAAATCTTAGCTTGGATGGCATTATACTGACGTTAAAGAATTATATCTCCAGACCCCAAACTTAGCTGAGCGTGGAACTGAAGGCTAATTCTTTATTGTATTCTTCTTGAAATATTCCATGTAGGTCCAATTCAAAATCTGTTCCGCGGACAGTCATTGCTGATATCTGACGGAAGTTTGTAGAGAGGGCTGATGGTCGGTCTCGAGAGATAAGTTTAAAGTGATCTGTTGCAGCCCAGGATGAGGCACATATACTTGTATACAGAGAAGTGCGGACAGATTTGCCTGATCGTGTTAGCTTTGCTGCGGCTGTTCAAATAATACAATATAAAAGTGCAATATAATATTTACGCTAAGCCTATATTGCAACGTTCTTGGTTCTAGCAGGGCCATCCTAAAGTAGCAGCAGTGCTAAGTAGCGGCAGTGCCAAACGGTGGCAGTGCTAAGTGGTGGCAGTGCCAAGTGGTGGCAGTGCCAAGTGGCGGCAGTTCAAAATGGCGGCTGCAAGGAGGCTATGCTATTGAAGTAGATTAAGAGTGGTGTATGTAATCTGTAATTATTTAGATGGTTGGAATCTATATTATCTGTGATATGGATTTTATTGGAATTTTTTTCTTAGTTATATATTAAAAATCCTAATATATTGAATTAATGGGTTGTATGTTTTCGAAGCTGACTGGGTCTAGTAATAAAGATTCTCTATTGCAAGTAGATATCATAGAGTAAGAATATTACCCAACGGACCTGCAAATTACTACCACTGAAAATATATTTGAACTTCCGACAAGTAACTACATTCTTGCTACGTAATAAGTAACTTAAGTTTTCTGGGTATCTATTTTAACTAGTTCTGTCTTGGTTTTGGCGCATCTTTATTCTCTACTAGCTATTATCTTTCTAAGATACACTTTCCGATAATTAGCAGCAGTATAAAAGCCTGTTATTATCCGCTCCGAG